GAACTCAAAGCTGCCATGATAGAAAGATTTAATAGAACGCTAATGCTTCGTCTGAATAAGTTTTTCACATTTACAAATGATACGAAATACATAGACAATTTACAAGACTTTGTACAATCCTATAATTCTTCAGTGCATAGGTCCATAAACTGTCGACCAAAAGATGTAAAGCCTTCCAATCAATTTAATGTTTGGATGAAGAGTTACGAGGATTTGCAGAAGTCAAAGCCGTTTATTCCTAAATTTCGAATCGGACAGTATGTTAGAATTAAGATTCAAAAAGCAACATTCGAGAAAGGTTACGCTTCGACGTTCACCACTGACTTGTTCAAAATTCGAGAAATCGTAAACAGCACACCTGTGACATATAAGTTAAGTGATAATACAGGGGAAATAATTTTAGGTGTATTTTATCCTGAGGAATTATCTCTCGTAAAAATTTGAAATTAGTTCCCGAAAAAGTTTCTCGGAAACCTCTGAATTATGAGGCTTATAATTTTTTTTTTAAATTAGCATTCCCGAACCGGTTTTGAAAATGAAATAAGCAGCAATAAATAAACATAAAATACATAAAAAAATATCCGAATAAAAATATAAATAGAGGCAATAGTATTTAAGGAGAAAATTTGCGAGTATTATCCGCATTTGTTCGCTGAGTTCGAACCTATTCACAAGTCTATAAGATGGAAAACAGTCTGAAGGACTTAGCCTCAGACGACGAAAAAATTACATCTGAACAAGTGCCTGAAGATGCGCCTGTTTCTGCAAATGAGCGACCCAAGCGTGGTAAGCCCGATCTGGATGGGAAAGCCGGTTCTTCGAGTAAACCGTCGACTGCTCAGAAACTCAAAAAGTTCATCTGTAAAAGAAGGAAAATCGAAAAATCTTCACAAGCTCCGTTAGCATCAGGTACTCATGTTTTTCATAGGAAGAATTCTTCCGAATCATTGCTTGGCTAAGGATCGTATATTCATATGTAGGTGTTGAATTTTCATCGTCTGGAACATCTTCATCGTCGGCATCATCATCCGACAATGAAGGGGCTCATGGAACAGACCTTACCGCAGTTTGTGGTATGAGCAAAATTATGCCAAAGCCATTTTTCAAGCCAAGGTTGAGCGCTAGAATTGATGATCACTCGATTGAGTGGTACACCTTAGGCAATGAGATCGTTTTAGACATTAAGCTTTGCGGTTACAGATGTACAGAATACTATAATAATCATGTGAGATTCCGAGGGCACTATTTACATGAATTACTTAATTTTTTGAACGAAATACCGAAAATTTATGAAACCCAACTTCCTACACAAACTGCTCCGCTCAAATATTAAAAACTTTGTAAAGGCTTAGAATAATTAGTTAATATTTGTAAATGCAGATCTTATAGACCACCTTTTTCCAGATCATTTGCTAAATGGTTGTATCGTGTTTAATAAGAGGTTCGGAGGAAAGTCTTACTTGCAATGTACGACAATCGGTGAAGAAATTACCATCACCATTGGCGGAAATTCGCTTTTTGAGTTCATTTCAATGAACAGAAGTCAGTTTGGCGAGTTTTTGAAAGTGTTGAATGAAATGAAAATCGAGTGTCACAATCTCTTCGATTTGGACGGACCTTTAGACTTAACTACTAGACAATAGGATTTTAGTTAAATATGAATAAAATGTTTCCTGCACACACAAAAATTGTTCAATCTTATTTATTTCTAGGTGATAACGACGGGAAACCTGACGGTATCACTAACGCTCAAAAGGTCTTTTTGGCAGTATTCGGAATTTCACCTACACCAAAACCTGCCGGCACTAATCAAATCGGTTGGCCCGATAGAGGATTCGAACTTAGTGACCAGGGTGCATTTGTGAGGAAAGACTATTTTGTAATGTGCACACTGAAATATTGGTATACCGAAATCCCGAAAATTTTGAAAAGGAAGTTTAAGATCATAAAGAAATGCAATTATGAGAAACAAGCTATCATACAAGCCAAAAACAATGTTCATATTCCCACATTTGATTTTACCGGCGTATTAATGGTTTCTAAGCATTACATGGATTAATAAAAACACGAAATTGTTTAAAAAACAGAGGAACAAAATGTCTGCACCGTGTTTTTATTCGAGCGCATATATTGACATCGCATCGTAATTTATAGAAATAAATAAATATATATAAATAAATAAATATATATATAAATAAATATATATTTAAAGACATAAATATTCCCAGCGGCCCGCAAGGGCCGCTGGGAAAATTTATTTATCACAATGGACCACGGGTGGCCAAATTCACAGCAGCATATAGCTATTTTATGAAGAGTTCAATTATGTGCTTGGTGCACATCAGTCTATAACCAGTACCATATTCACGTTCCTTGTCAAAAATAGTTGGAAATGACAACTCATATGACTTACTAGATTAAAATTATGCTAACTCTAAAAATTAGTTATTAAATTCATTGTCATCAAATTGCACTCACTCCTCATACTTCACGGATAGATATGTAAAAGGCTGGGGTATTCTACAAAATAAAATATCCTGTAAAATAAGTTCTTTTAGAACCCTGGCTCACTTAAGGAAAATGTAGCCCAAAAATTGTCTAAAAATAGATTTAAGATTTATATGTTCAAAGTTCACAGGATCCAAAAATGAGACTCCTATTCAGTTAAGAAATAGCCGAATGCAACCCAGATGTTATTTTTAACTACAATCCTTTATTTCACTGCCGGAAATGACACCCCATCTGGGGATAAAGAAGAGATGTTTCTTGTTAATTTTATTTACAAAGACATTATTGAAAAATAATAAATCCCTTAACCATTTACCATGAACGATTTTATTGAAGCGATGCTTCAATGTACATAAAGTAAATTCATAAAATCTATCATTAGCACAAATAATAATTTTCCATAAATGTTTCAGGAAGTTTATACGATTCTTCCTATTACCTTGGAGTCGTATTGATTAAGTGACCTAACGTCTTGCATGAATCATCTATATTTTCAACAGTCTGGAATATCTACTCATCTTAATGTGTTCTAAGAATTTTAATTAGCATGTAGTTTCTACCATAAACTTTTAATAATACAGACTTATGTAAATCTATCTTGGCAACTAACGTTACTTCGCTTGAACATATCTGAGCTGATATTTAACCCGATCTCTTTGCCTTTGGTCTGTTATTTTTCTATTCTGATAATTGTACCTCAAGCTTAACGAAAGTTCTGCATCATAAGAGTGACTCATAAAGTCCCAAGCTTATAATTAACTTGTGGCACAGGTTTTACTTTTTTGCGGCTCAATAATAAAATTATTAATTTCATAACATTTGCACTTTCACCTTTAAATAGATACTTAAACTATATCAACAAATATCACAATGAAGAAAGTGTCGTGCGTTATATCAAGTTTACTCACATGCCTCGTGGGCCAGGCCGAAAGTAGCAAAGAAATGGAAAGTTTCAAACGGTAAGCCATCTAGTTGTTAAAAAATCAATAGTAAATAAAATTTAGGATTGAGTTTAGCAAATATGAATTTGTAGGCATTTGTAGACGTCTTTCAAACATTTAGAAATGCACGTACCTACCATGTCGTACTGTTTGTCCAATAAAATTAATTTACGAACTTGTTGCCCCCTACTTTTTATGTTGTTGAAACCCTTATTACAAAAATACTAGTGCTACATGTGATTTTTCATTTTGTATCTCCTTTAAATACATTCATTCGTATCCTTATTGTACGAACAGGTTTTCGTTTGGATATCTATTTGTTCGAAATGTAGATTATAATTGCACCACTAATATGTATAGTAGACGGGGAAAAGATAATGTGGATCAGTCAATTATATGCGTTACATATCGTCGTACTAATTCATAAAAGACCTAAGTGCAGTCGATGATTAATTCAGAAAAGACCTAAGTGCAGTCGGTGCTGAATTCAGAAACGACCTAAGTGCAGTCGATGTTTTATTCAGAAAAGACCTAAGTGTACAGAAAAAAAGGACGAAAAGACCTATGTGCAAATATGTATTTACGTATGGCTAAATCGCGCGATAACTTAAGAGAATCGGTTTGGCAATATATAGCCATAAGTAAATACATACTTGCACATAGGTCTTTTGGTCCTTTTTATGTACACTTAGGTCTTTTCTGAATAAAACATCGACTGCACTTAGGTCTTTTCTGAATTAATCATCGACTGCACTTAGGTCTTTTATGAATTAGTACGACGATATGCAAAGGACTGCTGCTTCAACCGCATGGAATTCATTGTCGAAAAAGGGATAAAGACTGAAGTGAGAAATGTCAGTTATCCGGGGTCTCTAAACACCAGACAGAGATAAAATAACAGATCAAAAATATTACAAATTTAATTGATTTTAACACTACTTCTATCCTTGTGGAAATTTAATATACAAATTTAATTGTTTATAAATTTTTTCTAATTCCCCTGTTATTGACGGCTTTATCCGATCTCCCGCATTTTTTTGCAGGTGTGATTTACTAGATATATAAATATTTTATATGTATGTGTTTATATGATTTATATGTGTATCTACGAATTGGGACTGTTTACAGAAGACGACTGAAAGGAATGATATTATGAGCGGCCTGTAAATTATGCATATAAAAAATCTGCATAATTCATCACACCTTCGTAAACAGCGTAAACCGTGCCATCATCAACTTCGCAATTCTGCACGACACCACCACTGGCCAGCAGCATGATGTAATTCGTACACTCTTACTCGCTGGCCAGACAGTGTCAAATGGTGGACTGGCTAGTTTGTGATTTTGATCTTTCACCTCTCTCACGACCGGATGGAGTAACGACAATAACACGACACTGTGTACAATGCAAGCATTAAATTCATGTATGCATGTATTTATATAATAATTAGGTTAAGATTTGGACTTTGTTAAGAAAAGACGATAAGAAAATGGTTGGGAGAATGAGGGGAGATTATTCATGGAGATTAATTACGTTCTGGACAGCGAGAGAGGAAGGAAATAAAGGGAACCAAATTATAACGTTTACCAACCACCAAAAAATTGAGTTATTTTCGCACTGCTTTATTTGAATCGACATTTCTATTTGATTGATCCAAACACCAATTTATACAAAATCCGCATATTTTACACATACATTTGTCAATACAAAAGAGCATATTTACGCGATTTTCACAATATAAATGTGAAAATTATAGCCTTCTGGAAGATTGAAAACAAATCAGCCCAGTGGAGCGTTCTTAAGTGTATAATACTTCTTTCAAGCTGAACTAGGTATCAAATAATCTGCAAATAATTACCAATACTTACAGGTGATTGTAATTTGTATAACTAGATAAATACATATTGTATCAAGAAAGTGATTGGAATATTGAAAAGAATTGTTCCCTCGGCGGGCTTTAATCGACAAACTTTCAATGATACTACCTCGTCATTTCGAAGAGGACTGACTATTTAGATGACGATGTCTTGGGGAAAGTATTATAAGACTATTGTCCCGAGTCGTGAAGAATATTAGACTGCGTCGTACCTGGACAAGGTACGACCGTGATGACGTGGAACTGGCCAATAGGCGGAGGAAGCGGCCAAATACGCGGTAAAGGTTATTAAACGAAGGAAACTTTACAGTTCTTATTAGATAACCCGATTCGTATCACATAGTTCTTAATGACAAGAAAAGGGTCATGGTGAAGTAAGAAGATGAACCAATAGTGGTGCGTTAAATCTAAAATAATTTTAAAATTTTGTACGAGGCATTTAGAGTCTCACTACCACATACCTGGCAGACGAAGTTAACGAATTGGCTTGGGATACAATTCTTTGCATTGAAGGGTAATACAATATTTATTATCAAGTGCTATTAAAAGCTCAACGTACAAAGAATATTTGAAATATTTGATCTAGTTGGAAGTGGTTAATATCCATCTCGAAACGTATGCAATGATACTAAAAACAGTTCCATTGGGAAAAGCACAAAGTGCACAGTTATTCCGAGAATACAGTGGACTTAATCTTTGGATCGCAAATAAATAGGTGGAGGGATGGATCCCTTGCGTTCTAGACGACCATTAGAAATAATTATGCAACTGGATTAAATCCCAAATGATGAATTAGTGAGATGAGAATATGTGAATTACTTTGATGAGATGCAAATATTTTTTAACCTTACAGGACGTTATATTAAGTACGGATTTGCATAATCGTTACGGAGCGCGTGGTGTCGACAGCTATGTTCGCTGCGTCACAATAGTGGAAAATTTAAGAGAAGTTGTTGCCCGTACACAAATGGTAGCTACTCTGAATTAGCTATTTTATATATATATATACATATATATATATATATATATGTTAATGCTTTATGCATACATATACTAATTGACGGACTAATTAGCGGACCCAGCTTCATTCTTGCCTAATGCAAATTCGATGGAGATTTTTAGGACAAGTCAAGTGAATCCAATTCAATTGCAGGACCGTATTTATGTTGACGTCGAGTGTAAAATGTGCACGAAATATGGGAATAAGAAAGCACTCCAGTTGATTCGACGTCTTCTCAAGGTTTGGTCGTGTAGGATTGAAATATTTTCATATACAAATTAAATGATTTCATCCTATAATTCTATATATGTAGCTAAATATAAAATCAAAAAGTCATCAAAAATTTGTAATTAAAAGATCTCACTGTAATGATATCAAACCTGGTTAAATTAAAACACAAGACAAGATTTCATTACCTTTTACATTTAAGTATGAATTATTTAAAACATTGCATCATACGAGACAACTACGGATGCCCCTAAACTGTTTATACCAACATCGAAGAGAATGGAGTGAAAGGTAAAAAAACTGCACAGTTTGTAAAATAGTAAGACACAGATTTTGCCGAAATTTTGCTATTTGTGAGATATCGATTTGCTGGGTTTATGTATCAAGGACGACCAGCACAGAACACAATCCCCTTTGGATATGATCAGCAGCCCAACAAGCAAGGCAGCAAGATTAGCAATTGATAAAATCGTCTTGCAAAAAACAGCACCGTTTGTATATTCCTCCTCAACCATTTCCTCACCAAAAGTTCAGATTTTGATCTCAAACTTGTCTCATGTATGTAAACGAGCAGAGTTAATTTGCTATAGGGAAGTGCGCCTAGCGCAGAAGACTGGCATAAAAATGTGGATATCTGGAAATATAGCAGACTGGGCTTACTAAAAATTTACGATGATAAGGTAGTGACCCTACCCTACAATCACCCTCAACCATAGTTTGCTCGGCTTCGTGTGTGGCTTCCACAACCAGTTTCTTCCTGAAAACCCCCAAAAAAATTTTCTCACCTACCTGGAGCTTGCTACCACATTCGGTTGATTTTAGTCTATCCATTCGGTGTTTTTCATTCCTTATGATATTAGCTTTTAACATATGTCCCTACTTTTTAAATGTGACCACATGGGGGAAAGTTTGGGGCAATTTCCTCTCGGCAAAAAAAAATCACAAAATTTTTTTTTTAACTTTTTGGCAATTTTTCGAAATTTTGACTTATTGACAGCGAGTTACGTTCAGCCAAAAAATAATTTTGTGCATTAATTTTGAAGATGATGACCAATGACCATGGATTCCAAAATTCATTTGATCCAGTTTTTCGCGTACGTATTATGGTCACTGGGGTCACTTATAGTGAAGAATCCAGGGTCATTCAACTCTTTATTCGTTCCATGTCTCGCCTCCACGTGACGCTTCAAATTTCTTGAACAGGAAAATCTCAAGTCACAAAATAGGCATGGATAATTCCTCTCATTTTTATGTGCAACTCGGACGTGGTATCGTAAACCATCCTTGCTAACAAAGGTCTGAGGGCAAACTTGACAATTTAACACGTCTCGGGAAGATTTTTCCAGATGCGTCTTCTGGAAAATGAATAAGCGCATAAGGTAATTTCCCACTTCGTTTATTTCAACAATATGCTTACAAAGTTACCTCGTGACATTTCATGTTTCTTTATGGGCGAAACTCCTCCCACAAGTGGCACAAATGTAGGCCTTCTCCTTCGTGTGGGTGTAAATATGACGCTGAAGTTTATCCCTGGTTTTATATTCGTTTCCGCAAAGTGTGCACGGGTATCGGATCGGATTCTCGTCATGCTCAGATTTCACGTGGTTCGTCACATCGCACTGGTGTAGATAGCTTTTCTCACAGCCAGGAAACGGACATGGTAAACGAGATCGTTCCTGCGTACTGTGCATGTTCCGAATATGATTCCGTAATGTGGGACCGTTGAAGAAAACCCGGTGACAAGTGGTACAACGGGGTCGATTCCGGTTGCTGTTAACACCCCGCATGTGACCCGATAACGCGACTCTGTTTTTGAAAAATTTACCGCAAATCTAAATGGATAGGACAGAAATGGGCAAGTGTGGATTTTTAAATTAGCTTCTTCTTAGCTAATTAACAAGCTCACCTCACATTTCACCTTCGCATCTGGATCATGACTAAGGCTGTGTTTTGTCAACTCGTGGTTGGTTTTAAACGTTTTCGGGCACTGGGAACATTCTTTTCCTGATTTCAGATCCATTTGGATTCGGTATTGTAAATATATGCAAGTTTATAGACTTATGTATGCATAGGGATTCCAAAATAATGGTATGTTTGAACAAGTCTGATTGTGTAAATACCTAAAAAATATTCGCATATTTTCACACAATATTTCCACAATGTTATAAATGTTTGAAATACATTTCCTGGGAACTTTAGCGACAATATTTATTAAAACCATAAAAAAGAATTTGTGTAATTTTGTATTTTTGTACTTTATAAATTTTGAAGCTTATCGTGCGTTGTGTTTGTAGGATTGCTTAATCGTGATTTATGCAGTAGTTGCTTTGGAAAGTGAGCACGTAAAGTTAATGCTGGTGAGAAAAGGGTTGCGTTTTTTTAACAATAGGGACGAGGCAAACTTGACAAACTCCTGAATAAAAATAACCAACCCTTGGCGACCGTGCATGCATAAATCTTGCGATAAATTAAGAGTTTCTGGGAAGAGTTTCGATCAGTCAATTATTTCGAGGTGAACATTTGGAATTATTTATGTTACAAATAATTCATTAAAAATTACTTAAGAGAACTTCAGGGTTCTGTAAATTTCTTAGTAAACGTGGTGGGGTTAAATTTCTTAGTTCATAATTATTTCGTTAAATTGCTTATAGAAACATGATCAATCAGTCCCCTAAAAATGCATGCATTGTTTTTACAAACAAACTAGAAAGTTTTGATGCTTATTTTGGAGTATGTACGTCAACAGGTAAATTTAATGATGAAGAGGAAGATGAGAAAGAAAACTTATTGAATTTTTGAAAATCCAATTGAACCAATAATGAGAAAAAGTTGCGAGCTGGCCGGAATCGAACCGGCAATCTTTCGTTCTGATCACTACCGGGTTACCACTTTCCCCACAATGCCCTGTGAATGGCTGATGCTTATTTTTTAAACAGGTAAAGCTAATGTTGGTTCGTATGGTGTGAAAAAGGGTTGGATTTGGTATTACCAAATTGGTAACCATAGCAACGACTGAAAGGTTGACCAAATTCTGGACCAAACAATCCTTCAGGAAATAAAGACCATCCAGGCATAAATCATGCCACCAATTTTGACTTTTCTACGGGGTATCGTCTACAAAACGATACAATTGATGTCGAAGCGAACATGTTGCCTTATCAATTTTACATTTTCTTAGCATCTTTTTCTAGAGAAAATTTCGAATGTGTATATTTTCACCAATTTTTATAGATTATAGAAGTATAATTAAATGCTATTACATATTATTATGTAGCTCTCATTAAAATTCATTGCATATTCAGGATTGTTGTCGTGTATTGAAATGGATCGGAGTCAACCTGACAGAATTTCTACGCTCCAAAATCACGTGTCCGCTTGATTAACATTGGCGGCGGGCCGAAATTCAAATCATCATCCGGTTGACTTCGATGCACCATTGCCATGATTGTTCACGTGGTCTGAAAAAGGTTTAACTAGTCACCCAGAACCACTATGCTGCTAGCTGAGGGAAAAATGGTAACGGTCCTATTTTTAGAAGACTATATCAAATAGTTTTACGAATATCGTAATTCGAGTAAAAATCGGTAAATTACTAATAAATAAGGGTTAATTCATAATTGATGACTGTTTTTTCGTGTACTCCAGCTTTAACAGAGATTCAAATTCTTAGGAATGAATTGCTGCATATGATAGCCAAACTGATGTACTGTTAGGGTTTTAGTTGAAAAAGGTTGCCAATTAAACAAGAACATCGTCAGACAAAGAGAAAAACAAGTCCAAGCGTGGTGCACTTTCACAAAAACGCTGCCGAATTGGACAAGAAAATCCCGCACTACTACCTCAAAAATGAGAATATTCCCAAGATATCATTTCATCGTTACATACCAAAGTATGGTTCAATAAAATCAGCCGACTTAAAAAAAATTATTCATCACCATGTGTGGCAGACAACCTCCAAAGTCATCAAAGCAGTGTAAATAATTTTGAGAGGATGCCATCCACGTCGGATCACCTAGCACCCAAACGGGTGAAGATATCAAAACCAACTCTTCGCTGAATTAAAGCATAATGATTGGGGATTAGAACATCAAAACAACTACGTCCTCAAGATCCACTGAAGATAAAAAATTAAGAGCCAAAATAGGATGCAACTAAATTTACGAAAAAGTGTAATCCAGAATACTTGCCAGTTGTGACGAAGCACATGTCACAATAACGCCACGAAAAGTTTGCAACTAGCAATTTTTTATTGCTACAAGTCGTAAGGATGTGAAGCATGAACTTAATGTATTTCCTAAAGTCAAACTCGCAAAAACTGACAGATTTGGTTAGCCTTTGACGAAATTGGAGCAATTTCAAAGCCCTCAATTATGGTTTGGACCATGACCCTATGTCTTTATTTATCAAAATGTATCAAACACCGATTAATTCCTTACATAAATGGTCATCAGGAGACTCAGTCAGATTTTGGTCATAGGAAGCCACCTGCCATTACGGTTGAATTTTTACCGACTACCTCAACGAGAAAAAAATTTGTTTTCTGGCAAAATTGGAACATGCCAACAATGTTCTCCAAACAAGTGGGATTGAAAGATTTTAGGCTTGATGCAAAAGAGAACATCCATAACGACCGAAAATGACCAAAATCCTGCTTTGAATTCGACTCGTCATGAGTCAAACCTGAAGATTGTGAGGAGAAAGTCAGGAAAAGCAAAAATTAACAGACTTGGAAAAACTTGTGAGGAATTTTTTGTAGAGGGTCGACGGGACCGAAGTGATTTTGGTCAATGTTGTGCATCGCATTTGTAACAATTATTAACACAGTTGTCAACATTTCAACTTATCGTTTCGTAATGAACGACTTTTCAAATCGTGCCATCAATTATGAATCAATCCTTACATCTGCCATTACGCTAACAAATACAAACTTAGGAGTAAGTAAGTATTTTAACTTTCTAGCGTATGAACTCTACAATGTTGCAGCAATTCGCCCAAAGTGAAGACCTTCTTCCCACAAAAGTAACATTCATGCCTGGCTGCATTGTGGCGTATTTTATGCTTGGCCAAATAAGCTTCAGAGTGGCTCTTGAACTCGCATTTCTCGCAGGGATGGATCTTGAGCAGCTCTTTGTTTAGGGTGTGTTTCGCCTCCACGTGACGCCTCAATCCGGTTGAGTTGGAGCATCTCTTGTCACAAAGTTTACAGGGAAAATTCCTCTGATTTTCATGCACAATTCGGACGTGGCACTGCAGGCTAACTCTAGTCACGAAGGTCTGGGGACAGATGTGACACTTTGACCTGTCTCGCGTAGATTTTTCCAAATGCGTCTTCTGTAAATGAAAATGCACATTGGTAACTTTTCACCTGATTTTTAGCACAGCATGCTAATTTACCTCGTGACGTTTCAGGTGCGGCTTTTGGGCGAAACTCCTTCCACACGTGGCGCAATTGTACGGCTTCTCGGTCGTGTGGGTGAGGATGTGTACCTCAAGTTCAAACTTGGTTTTAAATTCCTTTATGCAAAGTGTGCACGGAAAAATGACCGGATTTTCGGCGTGTTTAGTATTTATATGCCGCGAAAGGTGTCCCTTGATTAGGTAGGCTTTCTCACAGGCTGGAAACGTGCATGGAAAACGAGGTCGATCCATCGTTCCATGGCCAGTGTCAATATGTTTCTGTAAAATGGGAAAGGTTGAAAAAACGCGGTTACAAGTTTCACAACGGGGTCGCTCCCGGTTGCTGTGATATATCGACATGTGGGCACGTAAGGTGACTTTGTTTTTAAACATTTTTCCACAAACCTGAACAAGAAAGAAGTTATAAAATATGGACAATGTACTTCAATTTTTTGCATATTTGCACGCAAAATTAGTTTGCTAATTTAAACACTCACCTCGCATGTGACTTTGGCATCAGGATCATGCGTGACCATGTGCCTAGTCAATTTGGTATTGGTTTTAAACGTTTTCGAGCACTTTGAACATTCCCATTTCTTCCCTGGCTTCAAATCCATGAGAATTCCTTATTTGTTGAAGTTACACGATTTAGTTTCGTAAATATCTGCAATAAAAAATTCGCTTATATTCACACAGTATTTTAACAAATTGTATGCCAAGAATTCACACCTTTCAAGTAAATTCACGCCAATTAAAAATGTTTCCAGCAATTTTAAACGAGAATAATATTTATTGTTTGCAACAACTGAAAACAAATTTTGTGCTTATCCTTTCGTTTCTTACCGAGTGTTGTGTAGGATTGCTTAATTATTCAGGCGAACTTAGGAGTAAGTGAACATGAAAAGGTAATGATCGGTCGTGTTGTGAGAAAAAGGTTGCCTTTTTTTCACGAGCAATGAGTGGAAACTTGAAATATTCTTTAAAACAAGTAAGTTGGGCGAAGCCCTTGGTAGGATTTTATCCGCTGTTCAAGGATGATATTTCTACCAGCGTACCTGTATTTAGAAAGGTGTATTTAGCATATATGATTAGGGGATGTTCAAAATTTCCCGGTTAAAAATTACACCGAATAATGTTTACTTCTCATGCCAAATAAAATTGAATATGTGTATTTCATTCAAAATTCGGATGTATGACGAGCAAAATGTGTGAGTGATCTACTTAATTGCGTAATTCATGAACGGCCCCATATTCCTATTTTAGTCCATATTCAGGGAATTGAAGGGTTAACCATTTAATTGCTCCATTCACCTCCGCACTTGCACCACGCACACTTCGTCCCTTTTTTCTCTCAATAAAAATGCTAGAGAAAGACTGATTTATTTGCAACTAGCGTATAGCCCGGCCGAGGCCGGGTTCTAGAGTTGCAGTGGGGGGTGTGCCCAAAGCGAAAAATCATACTATACTTTAAATAATTCCCAGTGGAGACTTTGTCATACTACATACATACATCAGAGTGAGGGTTTGCCCAAGTCATACTGCATTTTAATTAACCTGGTCACAGTACAATTTAATTTCCCCCTGTTGGGGTAGTTGAATAGCTAATTACTTAAGTTCCCACGCTTCACGCTCCCGTTAAGTTCCATAAACCCCGTTAACTTCTACAATTAACGCCAAGCTATTGACGGATTCGGATTCAGCGTCAAAAATACATTCGAATTGATATGCGACATCACGAATAAGCCATATTTGGCCCCACGGTCACGGCAAGGTCACGGGGGGCCTCAGAGGTCAAAACCATTGACGGCGTTGGATTCAGCGTAAAAAATACATTCAAATTGATATGCCACTCGCTGTGAGTGGAGTTTCTCAAACTAAAATAATTAATTAATAGTGTTGATCACGATCACTTATCATGATAACTACTATTGATGAGTGATGTATGTATGTATACTGCTCACTCACTCAATTTACTTGCACACTGCAAATATACAAAGACATTTAATTTGAGATTGATGGCAAGCGTACGTGAAAGTCACGTGCAGGCGAAGTGAGACTCATGCAGAAAATGCATGCAACCTCCGCTTCCTTCTTTGTCTCCTCTACGGGGCAACTTGCATTGAGAGCCACAGGGACCCAGGCAGAACTTAACACTAACGCTTTATGGAAGTAGATTTACCCAATGAAAACGAGTACAGCGAATTTTGCCTAAACTCGACAAGTTAAACCAGGGTCGTCCTACTTAACTTAATCGCTCCGCTCAGCACTCAATTCTTTGGGAGTAGGATCTCAACAAATACGAATCCACACCGATATGAATCCAAGTAAGGAATGGGAATGTTCAAAGTGCCCAAAAAAGTTTAAAACGAATAAAAATTTGACCATGCACCTGGATTTGCACGATTACGGAGCGAAGGTCAAATGCGAGGTGAGCGTGTAAATTTGAATAAATTGATTTTTAAACCCACATTTTTCCACTTCTGTTTTGCTTAGGTTTGGGGTAAAGTTTCCCAAAACGGACCTGCCTTGAATGCTCACTTGGCCAGATTTCACGCCAACCGTGAGCGACCGAGTTGTGACACGTGTCACCGCGTATTTTCCTCTTTTTCCTATTTACGGCGACATATGGACACCACCCACAGCACGAAGGAACGACCCCGCTTACCGTGCACGTTTCCTGGCTGTGAGAAAACCTACCTGAACAAGGGCGATGTTGCGAAACACGTAAAACTGGAACATGCCCAGAATCTGGTCCGATTTCCGTGCACACTGTGCGGAAAGGACTTCAAAACGAGAGGTGAACTAAAGCAACACATTCCCACCCACACGACGGAGAAACCGTACGTTTGTGCCACTTGTGGGAGAGGCTTCGCCCATAATGGAGTCATGAAACGTCACGAGGTGAATTTGCATGAGGCATATCGCGGAAGACAGTAGATGAAAAATTACGAATGTTCATTTTACAGATGACGCATTTGGAGAAATCTACCCGGCACGTGTCAAAGTGTCACGTGTGTCCTCAGACGTTCTTAAGTAGGATTACCCTACAACAACACATCCGAGTTGTGCATGAAAACCAGAGGAATTATCCGTGCCTATTTTGTGACCAGAGATTCTCCAAATCATCAAACTTGAAGGGTCACGTGGAGGCGAAACATGCCGCGAAGGAAGAGCGGATCCATTCCTGCGACAAGTGCGAGTACAAGACCCACTCGAAACCCTATTTGGCTGCTCACAGAATACGTCACAATGCAACCAAGCATGGGTGCTATTTCTGTGGGAAGAGGTGCATCACTTTGATGGAATTGGTCAGCCATTTTCGAGTTCATACTTTGGAACAGTAGAAATTTTATAGATTTTTGTTTTTTATGATTTTGTGCGTTAAACTTGAAATTGCAATACAATAATATCATTATGTATATATTTTGTTTAGTAATTATAAAATGGTCTTTAAGCATAAATATTTAAGTAACGACATTTTAGTTAATTTGTAAAATAGAATTCCTTTTTCCTCTACCCTTACAGCGAGGTTGGGCATAATTTTATGCGGCCACCTTTCAAAGGTTTAAAAATATCTTCCACCAATGTCTTTATCTTTAGAAACGTTTAACTTACATGATTATGGAACGATGTGTGTACTTTTCATCACCTTAATACAAACATATGTACATGCATGTGATGGAAGACATATACTGTACATGCATAGAAACATAAGAAGTGAAAAAAGACTGAATCCCTTAATTATGAAGTGCATGAAGGGCCCGACATTCTAATTCTGGCCACATGAAGGGAGTGAAGGGTTGACTGGCTTGTGCCAATGCATATGTAGGCATGAAGCTACCCAAACCATTCACCTGCCGCAATTGCCTCCGGACTTTTCCCATGCACTCATCATCGACTTTCTCTTAAGAAAAATACTCTCATAAAATAAATGTGAGAGAAAATCTGATTTCTTTTCAATTTAAACTCGAACAAGATACGTACACGTGACTTGCGTGATGTGAACAATTGACTAAAAAATAACTATCCACAGACGATTCAAACCTTTCTCCCCATAAATTTTCCCCTTGGTCTCAAACTTATTCAACCGAAATGAGCAGAACGATTTTGGTCTAAACTCGTCAAGTTAAGGCATTAGCCTAAAATAAAATCACTCCGTGCAGTAAACAACTTTGCAAGAGTGTGAACTCCGCAATACCGAATCAACATGGATCTGAAACTAGTAAAAAACGGGAATGCTCAAAGTGCTCAAAGACGTTTACTACTGGTAGCGACTTGACGAAACACATGGTCACGCACGATCACGATGCCAAGGTCAAATGCAAAGTCAGCGTGTAAATTTGCAAACACAAAGCAAAGTAATTTTGCACTTAACGTGTGTCCTCTTCTGTGTTACTTAGGTTTGCGGCATAATTTTCAAAAACAAATTCAGCTTGTCCTCCCACATGTCGAATCTTCACACGAACCGAAAGCGTCCCAGTTGTAACACACTTCACCGCGTGTTTTTCAATTTTACCAGTTTACAAAAACATATTAACACTCATAGCGCGAAGGAACGACCTCGTTTACCATGCACGTTTCCCGGCTGTGAAAAAACCTACGTAGATAAACAAGGGCGACGTGGCGAAACACGTGAGAACCGAACATGCCCAGAATCCGATCCGATTTCCGTGCACACTTTGCGAAACGGAATTTAAAGTGAGGGCCCACCTTGAGCAACATATTTTTATCCACACGACGGAAAAGCCGTACAAATGTGCCACTTGTGGAAGGATCTTCGCCCAAAAGCGAGCCATTAAAAGTCACGGGTAAAGTAGCGTGTTATGGGAAAAGGTCACCTAAAAATTACCATTGGTAATCTACCAATTTGCTTGTACATATTCATATAACAGTTGACACATTTGGAAAAATCTGCCCGAAAGGTGTTCCAGTGTCACGTCTGTCCTCAGACCTTCTTGGGGAGATGTGGACTTCATCGCCACGTTCGAGTTGTGCATGAGAACCGGAGAGATTATCCGTGTCCACTTTGTGACAAGGGATTCTCCGACTAATCAAACTTGAAGGGTCACGTGGCGGCGAGATATGTCGCGAATAAGGAGCCCATCCATTCCTGCGACAAGTGCAAGTACAAGAGCCACTAGAAAACCAATTTGGCTTCTCACAAATTACGTCACAGGGCAGGGAGGCATGGATGTTACTTCTGCGGGAAGAAATTCTTTCTTTTTAGCCAATTGGTTAAACATTGTCGAGTTCATACTCTAGAAAATTTTTAATAGTTATGCATGTAATGGAGTTGTCAACCATTTACAAGTTTTTTTTATAGAATTTGAGACATTTTGCTTAACCTTTATGTAGAAGGCCATGGGATTTTCCTTAAAACATTATCTAGTACGGATACATATTTTATTTGTTAAATAGAACATTTCGCAATCTGTATTTAAGTATGTATATTTGTGAATCCTATTAAAATGTGTGAATTTGGCAAGAAATTAGTGAAAGATAAACAATTTTTTTCTTACAGTGAAATTTGTCCACAAATATCCATTTTGTAAATATATGTAACTAAACATGTTAATTAAATAACGCAGCATTTGTTCAATTTTAATTTCAATAAAGTTCAATTCAAATTTTTAAGTTCAATAACGCAGAATATATATTTATGATTTCTGCACTTTTAGTTTTGATCTGTGGGAACCGAACTGGCAATCGCAAGTTCGGATCATTACAGGGTCATAAGTTTCCAAACAATGCTTGTGTGAATGGCATTGGCTTCTTCCCAACACTTGGCAATTGGCGGCGGGACATTGCCCCCCCCAGAAATGGGATTAAATTAACGACTCCCTTAACATTATGGTTTTCCCCTAAATTTTAGAAATGAACCCCCTTTTATTTTTGCCCTCACGTAATTTATCCCCTAAATATCAAACGAACCCCCCTATTAAAATTATGGTAAAAATAATTGAAATCAAGTATAATTACATACAGTGGCGGATAAATAGGGTGGGGTAGGTGTGACATAGGGGCCCCCGGGTGCGGCGTGGTGCATATATTGCTATACTTAAGTTTGGTCAACGAATTTCGAAGAATAAATTCACTGATACTGCGGATAAATTATTATTAGGTTAATTGTTATTAAGTACTAACATAACAAGTAGTTTGGGGAAACTACAAGTAGGTGGTTAAGTATTTTAAGTATATATGCTGAAGGTAATTCGTTACGATTATTTATGGCAGATTTGGAATAAATTTTTCACCGTTCGGTTATAAATTGATAACCAGTCAGGGGTATATAGACTTAAATATATATCTTCGATTCTGGTTATAATCGTACCTAGTTATTTCCAGTGTAGATTATGTAGTCTTCGCCGGTGATTCCTTGGGTTCAAACAATTTTTGGATTCGATTCCGCAAAATCTTCGCAAACTTTTGTAGCTTAACAATAAATGTGGGGGCCCCTTTACAATGGTGAGACTTTTTCTAGCCAAAAATAGATTTTTTTATATTCTTAAAAATTCTTGAAATAAATATAACAAATATGTGCCAAAAATTATATTTCAAGAAAATTTGGCTACAAAAAAGTCGCAAATCTGTCAGGGGGCCCCCAAATTTATATAATCAAGCTATTAAAATGTGCGAAAATTTTGCAGAATAGCATGCAAAAATTTGCAAATAAAAATGATGTTGCCCTGTTCATATTAATCGGTGTCTTAATCTAAATAGTTCGTGGTGATTCCCAATTGATGCCTAGTTCCTCACAAATCTAGAGAAATTTCATGGCGAATAATATTCCCAGCCTACAGGGTGTCCCATTTATTCGTGTGAAGATTAGAGACACTCGTGCTCTCTGGCGGGTAAATAAATTTCAAACTTGAAGCCAAAATCGGGCAGGGCAACTCACAAAATAGTTTTCAGATTTTTTTTTCAAACTGATTTTAAAAAGTGCGACCACTATGCTCACATGAAGTAGTGGTACTAGTGAAATACTTTTCCAGTCGATTTTCCACGGGAATCGTGTCATTTAAGTCGCCTACACCCCCTAACAAACGCCCCCTATAATTATGGACAAAAAAGCTACAAACGAAGCTCAACCATTTGGTCGGCCAGGAAACCCCAAAGAGCTTTCGCAGTATGGCGAAACTACTAAAATCGAATCCCACAACTATTCGAAGAGTGATTAAAAGAGATTTGGACAAAATGAAACCGATGAAAATAAAACTGCACGAGTTAAACGTGCGTCACATCATGCATCACTAAATGCTAATTTTTTGCAAAAAAATCCGTACAAGAACCACCTTGCTGGAGGTAGGGACGAACATGTGGTCACAATCGACGAAGCTTTGTTCAGGGTAGATGACCTGAACGGGAAAAGGTCAGTTCGCTGTACGTCGTGGAGAAAACGTACGAATTATGTAGCTACGACTTGAGATGGACTTTGCAAAGTTTTCAGGAGTAGTGGTTAAAAATTTGTAATTCCTCAAAAGTGTCTGGAAATGATTTCATCAAGGAAAAAGCGGTTCAGAGTTGTAGCTGAGACTAAAGGGACTAAGGGACTATCGTGCAAATTAATTATCATAAAAAGATTCATATGTGGGTAAGAAAAATTGTTGAAAATTTCTCAAGTGAAGTGGCCCATCCTAGGTATAAATAGATAATTAAGAATGGGTATAATCGCAAAGTTGAATTTTTTAAGACCACCAAGTTGGTTTTCCTTGTTGCACATAAATTAAACTGGCTTGATCAACCGTACCTTAGGAAGTTGTGCATAATGACATACGTTGAATTTCTTACATGAACATGGGAAATTCAGGGAAATTCCCAATTTTTCCGGTTTTTTGCTACGCTGAAGTTTATCAAGATTGAAATTGCTTGTTTCATTATTTGATTTCTATTACTATTATGGATAAAAAAGTATGATTATAACTTGCGAAGATCGATATGAAGTAAATTTATTAATATTACTAATATTATCCTTCATTTTTATCATGATTAATAATTATTACAATTTTTATTTTATCATCTCTCCCTACTTATGTATTGCAAACTTTTTTTCTGTATTTTTTCAAAGTGTTCTCTCCGCATTGCGGGTTGTAGATTCTCTTAAATGCATTAAATGTGAAATAAATACTTCAATTCAAAATATTCAGGTCGAAACGGTTTGTGGGCCGTGTGATATAAAATAAGTATGTATGTATGCATGATCCCCGAACGAATGGTTGGTTATTTTTAACCAGGAATTGGTCAAGGTTTCAGTCGTTGCTATTTTTACAAAAGAATGCAACCTTTTCAAAATAACATGAATCAACACTTACTCTACGCGTTCATTAAATAAGCTATCCAGAAGCATAACTGGCACAAGTACTGATAGAGCAATCCTACACAGAACAAGGTAAGATAGGAAGTTTTATACGTTTTACATAGTAAATGAATAACTTTATAATAATTTATATATTTATTTTTACGAGCAGTAATATTATTTTCAAAAATTGCTAGGGACGTATCTCATACTCGTGAACCGTTCTAAAATGTGTAAACTATTGGCAAAAAAATTGTAATTCATATATTGTGCGAATATGTGTAAGCCAATTTTTTTTATCAGATAGGTTTCAAATCGGATTTGTCTAACCACATCAAGTTTTGCCGAATATAAATCTATTTACAAACTTGACCAACCACATGGTCACGCACGATCCCGATGCACTGGTCAAATGCGAGGTGAGCGTGTAAATTTGCATTAAAACCAAATAATTTTACGTCCCACATTTTCCAACTTCCATCTTGTCTAGATTTGCGGTATGACTTCCAAAAATAGAGTCGCCTTAAATGCCCACGTGTTCAGATTTCACAGCAACCGGAAGCGACCAAGTTGTGACGCGTGTCACCGGGTGTTTCTCAATTCGGCCAACTTACGGCAACATATTAAGAACGTCCACAGCACTGTGGAGCGACCTCGTTTCCCGTGCTGGTATCCCGGGTGCGAAAAATCCTACAAGTTCAAGCAGGACGTTTCGAAGCACGTAAAAGCTGAACATGCCGAGAATCCGGTCCGATTTACGTGCACACTTTGCGAAAAAGAATTCAAAACTAGGGGTGACCTTGAGAGTCACATTCACACCCACACGACGGAGAAGCCGTTCAAGTGTGCAACTTGTGGGAGGCGTTTCTCCCACAAATCAAATATGAAAAGCCACGAGGTAAAAGACCATTTGGAAACGTCCATATATTACGTCATCATTTTAGGGGGTGGGTGATTTAGGTTCTCCTACCTTTCCCGTGTTTAAATTCCCCATCCATTCATGTTCGTGGGGTGGGTGTGTGCTAAAATCGAGAATTTTTGCTAACGCAATATATGAATGGCCCCTTTTGGAAAAATCTTGCTTAATAATTATTCATATTTATGTAAGTACTTACACCTTTTTGCAGACGACGCATTTGGAAAAATCTGCCCGAAACGTGTCAAAATGTCACCTCTGTCCTCAGACCTTCTTAACTAGAATTGGTCTACAGCTGCATATCCGAATTTTACATGAAAATCGGAGGAATTATCCCTGCGCATTTTGCAATGAGAGATTCTCCAGGTCATCGAACTTGAAGCGTCACGTGGAGGCGAAACATGGCGCGAATAAAGAGCTCATCCATTCCTGCGACAAGTGCGAGTACGAGAGCAAGTCGAAACAAAATCTGGCCAGGCACAAGGCTCGGCACGAGGCTGGGAATCGAGGATGCTACTTCTGCGGGAAGAAATTCGTCACTTTTTACGAATTGGTCAAACATTGTCGAGTTCATACTTTAGAAGCGTAATACTTCGGTGGAATATGCGCATCAAAAATTTTGGAGCTTTTTTTTTTTACTAAACTTGTACAAATATAGATACATACATATATATAAACCTCAATGTGTGTAAACCTTTATTCAACTGTCAACAAATATCAGCTGGTTTAAATAACATACTGGTTTCTAAATAAATCATGACAGAAATGCTATTTATGTACAAATCGCGATATTTGGCAGAAATAAATCATTCAAAGCTATTGGATTTTAGGGGCAAATTTGTCTAAAATAAAATGGGACTAGGTAAATACATATGTTTGTTTAGTAGGCATGAAGAATATGCATCACTGTACATAAGTCCAGAAAACGCGGAGAAATTATTCTTATCTTGTCAAGCATAACTCATGAATTTCAGCCTTGGTTTGACTTTTATATGCGTGCATTTATTCTGGCCTGACGATCTTTTAATTTGTCCTGTAAGGGTAAAAACTCGCATCCGATTGGAAGCAAAAATTCTAAATATGTGGAAGAATTTTTTGTAATTAAAATGTCAGTTTAATAAGAAGTTCAAAAAAATAAAACCAAGACAAAATGATCAGCTGCAGGAACAACTAATGACATTTTGGCCAATTATAGCATGTATGTAGTTATTATTTTCATAGCCTTATCTCGAAGTACTTACAAACTAGCAAATAATTAAATTGATTTTATTTTGGAGGTTGGTTAGCTGTTAACTTAATCATCATAACGGGTAATGGGTCCTCGGGCGGGTACCGGTAGACACAATGCGGGTAACGGGTAATGAGCGGTAGCACTTTCGCTACCCGCGGCAACCCTAGCAATTCTTATTCCTCAGTTCTGCAGTACGTTTTTTCTTCTGCGTCGAATGTTCTTGTGACGCCATAATTGCACTAATTTAATAAATCTTGCCCAAACTAATTTAACACTATTTGCGAAATTAGCCCTATTGTACTTCACATACTCGATAACCATCAGGCAGAAACATGCCGCTAGACAGGTGACGAGTAAAATGAAAATGGTTTGAATACTGTCCCCTAGCCGGACCACCTCAAATGAGGTCGACGCATAGCGAAATTTCCAATTTCCCCCACTTTTAAGCGCCCTTTCCCGTAAAATTGTTTCTTTCAGACCAACTTGACGAGAAACGTGGTTGTAAATCCCTGAACTAAAAAACGATTTAAAATATTGCACCATTCGAGATTCCCGCCGAACCTTAAACATAGATCCGATAGGCTCATCGAAAATTGTTTTCTCTCCTCGATACCATTTTTTAGTGGGATAATTCCTCTTGAGGTAATCATAGTAATTGTCTACTTCACGCGTTGGTCCGCCATAAACGGACCTGTCACAATTCAATATTTCCTCCTCAATTCCCCAATTTACCTCTTTCGCGGTTACATTATTGCCGGAAAATCTGAATTTTTCCAGATACCAGCGAATCCTTGGATTCACCATGGAATACAGTAACCGTTGAGCAACCGGTGCATCGATTTCACCCAAAGTAGTTCGAATAAGGTAGTGGAAACGATAAGAGGAAAATTGATAATTTTCAAAGAAATCCGTTCCAGACTTCCGTGGTTCGAATCGAGACAAAATTGTGTAGCACAATCCCCCCATCCTCTTCACAGTCGGGGGAATTTCAAAACTCGGGTCGACTAGTTCGCCGTGCAAGTCCATTATTCTCCACGTCCTGAACGCGAACATCCCAGAGGCATTTTCCATTCTTTGTGGTTTCTCACAAAAAACTTTTTCATACGTGTCGCCTCGTTCCCCGGGAAGGGGTGAGTTTAAATTGGTTATGAAGCTACTCAGGTAGCAGTTACTTATCACTACGAGGACAAGTAGCCATGAAATACTTAGGACTTTAAGGTGTAGGAAATTACTCAATTTTTTCGGCAGCTGGTCCACCTCGTCGATCAGGAGACCAAAAAAATATAAGAACAGTTTTAGCAGAAAGAATTCCTTGTTCAGAAGGTAAAATGCTAACGAAAGGAGGAAAGTTGATAAGAACAGCTTGATAACCGTGACGATCCACACGAAGGTATCGTATGGAGCTAAATACAAGGAAAACGAAACCCCTCTCGAAAAGTGGGAGCAAGAGATGAATGAGAAACCAACAAAATCTGGGGTTACAATTTGGGCATTTTCTGTGTACCAGGGCTCGATGACATCCCCGAGTTGGAATGACGGGTAGCGGCAGTGTTCCGTTAAAACGTCGTAGCAATGATCAAAGGCATCTGTGTAATGTCTGGTCGCGTTCAGAGTATTTAATGCTATGGTAATTAAAACCTCGTAGATAGCTAATGTAGAATCATGAATTTCGGTTGCGTCTCCCCAATGAAATTCCGAAAGTGCCGGGTAGTTTGAAGAGATATATAAATGTATGTCCCCATGTGAATGAACTCTGAAGCAAGCAAAATTTTGTAAAATTGGGACACTTTCTATGCTTTTCTGGTGACATACTTCCGCCCTGTCCTTCTTGAAAAATAATACAACTGAGAATCTGACAGGTATTTGCCCCGAAAATTTGAAAGGTTGCGAATAAAGTGGTGAAGTTGTAGTTAGCAGTATTTTTGGCCTGTCGGGAACTAAGAGAAAGTACAAATTATACGGGTAAGTTGTTAAATTGAGTGTACTATTTAGGCCTAAATAGCAACTGCCATGACAGGTAATCCAATACCCTAAGGACTTTTCATGAGATCTTGTATAATGTAACGAATTTATGGAGACAAAAAGTATGACGATTTCACAAAGCCAGTTTTTGTTATGGAAAATGTCAAGTTTTGGGGGCATCGAGAAGCATGGCCAGTCATCAGAATTAAAATCGTCCGGAAATATTCGTTTGGTCAGTGTAAGGGGGACATTCCGCGTGGTTGGCAGATACGGGCTGGAAATATTGTTGAAGACGAGGTGATATCGACAAGGGGCGTTGGATGATAGAATAGATGCCAAATTTATGGTGGGCAATGCTGTCTTGGCTTCGATAAAAATAAAATTTACGGTGCAACACAACGCGAGTAATAACGAAAAGACGTAAATGAATTTTGCCATTGTTGGCAGTTCTGAAATTTGTGTGGAAATTATAAGATTTATCGAAAAACTGCAAGGGGAAACTAAATATTTATCATATATATGTAAGGTTATCGAAGACACTTAAAGAAGTGAGGTGAGTAGAGTTTCAGAAATGTAAGGTTTACGGACAAGCGCACAGTGTTCAAAGAGGCCAATTTATTGGAAGTAATTCCCCGAGCACTTTTCTCTTAATATTTTTGCATTTTCCGAGCTCTGGGGGGTCAAAGACGTGCCCATAAAAAAATTGACGAGCCACACCCACTTTGGGTGTGGTTTTTTCCTAGTGGGTTTAGGGTCAATCGCCCAGTCCAAACTTGTGTGCTAAGCGATTCTACACCTTCTAAAAAAATTTCATCAAAATCGGTCCATAAACAAAAAAGTTATTGCAGGTCAAAGTTTGGCGAAAGGCAAAACACCCCTACTTTAGGGGCGCGGTTCTCCGAAGAGTGCAAACTTCAAACTCTGAAAATGGTTGTAAATGATGGCCCCCCTTGGTATGTACATATTCTGAAAAAATGGAGTTCTGAAATTTGCACATTTCCATGAAACATGGCCGGGAACATTGAACAAAATCATGTCGAAATTGTCCAAAACAGGCGAAACTCAACATGACGTAGAGTAGTAAAAATCGATATCTAGCTTCAGCTAGGGCTAAGAAGTGCGTCGCAAGTGAAATTGACCCATGTCGTAAGGGAATGGCGTCGACTTGTCGAAATTTCGACATGATCCTATAAAGCTCAAATTTAAAACTAGTACTCCCCCAGCATTCAAAATAAATATTCTAGCACTTTTGGCAATGTCGACAGTCAATTTCGCCGATTTTGAAATTTGGACATTTTAGGGTCGACATGTGCTAAGCTGAAATACAGTTAAAACCCATTAAAACCCGAATAAAACCCATTAAAACCCAAATAAAACCCATTTAACATGGTAAAACTCAATGGGTTTTATTTTTTAACAACCCATTAAAACCCATTAAAACCCAAAAAACCCAACCCAATAAAACCCTGGGTCGGAATACCCTGAATGAAATAAGTTTGATGAAAGTCCAAGTGTAAGGACAGACTGCCACGAAAAGTTGAGTAAATGTATGTATCACTTCGGACCAGTGTTGGCCAACCAAAATGAGAAATTTTGTAAGTAATAACTTACGTCGTATCGGATTTGACTTTGAGCAAAATAAATACCTAACGCAAACTAATATGTACCATCAACCTACAGTAAAGAATAGTTTCTTTGAAACTTTTAGCATTCTTAGCGAGCTGACATGGAACTATTTTAATTATCATGATTGCATATGGTTAAAATTTTATAAAGCGTGTCGTAACACGCGTTGAGCGTGTCATAAGAGATAAAAAGTTCGTGTTCAGTTTCCCTGAATAATCTATTGAATTTGCCATTGTTGATGAAAAAGCTACAAAGCTGAACCTACGGTTGATGACGTACAATGATAAATAAGTATGGATATTTGAGTATGAATATACATATATTGCCATCCGAAGTCGACTACGATTGTATCAATTTTTGTCATAATGTGTAAATAGTTAGGTATTTGAATATCATACATATTCATTGCTTAAATAGGAACAGGTATTTGATAATTATTGTAAAACTTGTTAAATATTATTCACAACATTTTAAAGTTTACCCCAGTAAATCTAACCCAACCAAAAAATACAAATCAACCAAATTCCCTACTTTCCAAGGTGTGCATGCTACTCGAGTGTCGCACCAAATCTTTAAAAGCGACAAACCTCTTTCCACAGAAGTAACACCCATGCTTAGCAGGCTTGTGCCGCCTTGTGTGTTCTACAAAATTGCATTTCGAGTGGCTCCTGTACTCGCACTTGTCGCAGGAATGGATCTTCTGCTCTTTATTCCACTTGGACACGTCTCGTGCAGAGGTTTCCAAATGCGTCACCTGTGAAATGAATGCACGTGGGAAGTTTTAATTTATTTTTTACTTATGTTTAGCTTCTACACTTCTACACAAATATATGTAATTTTTCCCACAGCATGCAAATTCACCTCGTGACGTTTCATTTTTCCTATTTGGGCGAAACTCCTCCCACACGTGGCACACTTGAAAGGTTTCTCAGTCGTGTGGGTGGAAATGTGTTGCTCAAGTTCTTTTCGGGTTTTGAATTCTTTTCCGCAAAGTGTGCACGGGATTCGGACCGGATTATGGGAATGTTCAGTCTTCACGTGTTCCGAAATGTGTTGTTTGCTTAGATAGGTTTTTTCACAACCGGGAAACGTACATGGTAAACGGGGTCGTTCCTTCGTGCCGTGGGCGGTGTTAATATGTCGCCGTAAATTTGTAAGGTTGGCAAACACCCGGCCACAAGTGTCACAACTGGGCCGCTTCCGGTCCGAGTGGAGATTCCACATGTGGCAAGATAAGGCGAGTCTGTTTTTGGAAATTTTGCCGCAAACCTAAGTAAATAATATAGGAATGGCTGAATTTTGATTGCAAACTTCGTTTCGTTTTTGAAAATATAGACACTTACCTCACATTTCATCTTGGCGTCGGGACCGTGTGTGACCACGTGACTTCCAAAGTTGTTGGTTTTATGCATTTTTGAGCAATGCTTTCCTGGCTTGATATCACGGATTCGACATATTTGGAGTTCGTACTCCCCAAAGAATTGTATAAGTACTCCACGAATTGATTTTATTTAAGGTTGATGTCTCTGGTTTAACTTCACGAGTTTAAACTAAATTCACTCTGCTCGTTTCCATTGGATAAGTTTGAGAGAAACTCAAAACTTTGATGTGAAAAAGGGTTGAAAATGAATCGTCTGTACAGAATTAAATGACTTCACACGTTCATCTCCTTCTAGTCTTATCTGTAGTTGTGTATAAGGCAGTTTTTCTCTCACATTTATTTTTAAAACATAACGAACACGAAGGGTATTTGTATTGGGAGAACGTCGAGGATGAACCGTGGTAAAAGCCAGGAAGCGAGTGAAGCCGGAATTTACAAAAACTTTATTTGTAGACTCAAGTTTAGCGAGTTATTATGGCCGCAAGCATATTTCTGTCACCAGTTTACCCTTCACTTCCATTAATGTGGACTGTAATAGGAATATGGGGCCCTTCATGGACTACGCAATTAGGTCAGGCAGTCATACCTTTCTGTGAAAGATATGGGGGGGAAAAGAAAAGTAATCGGCCTTGCCATGATCCGGTAACAAATTTGGGGTACTTGCCCTACTACTTTTAAATGTAGTCCCCTGCGAGGTTAACACACTTGGTCCGCTAAATTTCAAACACTCTAGTCCGATTTTATAAATGGTTTTCGAAAGAAAAGTCAAAAAGCGCTGTTTTCACCTCATCAATCTTCGAATTCTCCTCCCCCTGAGGTTTTTCTGAAAATTTCTATATATACAGAAGTCACTAGAGGCCAGGTGTGGACTGTAATGGGGATGAAATAATTTTGGCATTTTTTTGCGTAAAATGGCACCCTTCGAAAGTTTGGATTTTTTACTGAAAATTCGTCGTCAGCGTTTTCGTGAGCGACGGGATTTTTGTTCCCGTCTTTTCTCCACAACGGCTTGGGTTAAAAATTCAAAACTGCGGTGTAATTGAAAAGTAGAAGATTTGAGAGAAGCGAACCCCGCAAGTGCTGAAGGATTAGTAAATAATTAAAAAAATTAAATTCCTTGGGTCTCTGTGCTAATATTGTACAACGATAACTTTTTTAAAAATACATCACCGTTAGGATTTGGATAACTTAACTATTAAAAACCAATGCATGCATTTATTATGGGAGGATTTTGGGTCGTCTCTCATAATTAGGACGGAGGGTATTTTTATCGAGAGAAGGACGATGATGACCTGTGAATGGTAAAAGTCCTGAGGCAAGTGGGGTAGGTGAAAGGCCGAGCCTTAAGGGCAGCGACTTCTGGACACAGCACAAACATTTTAGTATCAGTCACCACGTAACCCTTCACTTGCATTTCCCTTAACGTGAACCGAAATAGAAATGTGCTTCATTGTGTTGAGCAAAATATACAATCTAAATAAAGTTGAGTAAAATTTGCGAGCGCACAACTGGTTGTGCAAAATTTACTCTCATTTGGTAAATTCTACACAACCAGTTGCGTCATCGCAAATTCTACTCAACTTTGAGTAAATTTTAATCTAATTTATTTAGAGTGTATATATTTACATATGCACATTTGTACGGGTACAACATGGGATGAGAAGTACAGATATGCATACATTTGCTTCGCGACATTTTCGAAGCCGTAAATTTTGATGGGATCGCAACCATGTAACACAAACTTTTGAACCATACACGATTATTACTGGCACCATTATAAGTCCAATTATTTATTTAAGCACGCTACGTATGTAATAAATATACATGTACATGTACATAATTATAAAAAGATATTAGAATTCCAATTTAGAAACCATGTCTAAAATAGCATATGTACAATCCGACAATGAGTAAACCAGTTTTAAATTCTTGTCGGTGCTAGAGACACTTTCAAGCTGGCTTTAACTTTTTCGCAAATTTTGAAATAACGGTGCGAATAAGCATAGATTCAGATCCATACAAAACTATTGCGAAATATTATAGCCAAATGTGCCTTTCCAATTACTAGATATATATTTGTAACCAAATCGCATAGCTTCTTTAACACTAATTTTGGCAAATGTTGAAAATTTATTAAAAATTCGCAAATTATTGCTATGCACCTAATCCTAAGTATTTCTAATTTTCTAAAGTATGAACTCTAAAATGTGAAACCAACTCTTGAAACGTGAAAAATTTCTTGCTACAGAAATTGGAACAGATTGAAACACCCATTCTTTGCAGCCACGTGCCGTATTGCGTGCATGGCCAAATTCTGCTTCATGTGACACTTGTACTCACACTTATCGCAGGAATAGATCGTCCTTTTATTCGCGGCATGTCTCGCCTCCACGTGGCGCTTCAAGTTCCAGGCGTTCCTGAATCTCTTATCGCATGACGAGCATGGATAGTTCCTCTGATTTTCCTCAGTATGAATTAGACAATGTTGGGCCAATTTGTAAAAAGTGATGAATTTCTTCCCACAAAAATAGCATCCATGCCTCCGTTCTGCGTGACCATTTCTGTGATTGGTCAAATAAACTTTCGAGTGGCTCCTGTAGTCGCATTTGTCGCAGGAATGGATCAGATCCTTCTTCGTGGGGTGTACCGCCTCCATGTGACGCTTCAAGTTTGATGACTTGGTGAATCCCTTTTCACAAAATGGGCACTGGTAATTCCTCTGATTTTCATGCACAACTCGGACATGGTGAAGAAGACCTCTAGTTAAGAAGACCCCCTAGTTAAGAAGGTCTGCGGGCAGATGTCGCACGGCAGCACGTTTCGGTCAGATTTTTTCAAATGCATTTTCTGCCGAATTAATAGGCACATAATAATTTTTCGTATTACTATTCATGTCCTTTCACGCTTTTCCCTTGAAATGTTTGCTTACCTCGTGACCTTTTATGGTCTCCATGTGGGCGAAACTCTTCCCACACGTGGCACAATTGTACGGCTTCTCCGTCGTATGGATGGGAATGTGATTCACAAGTCCACCCCTCGTTTTGAATTCGTTACCGCAAAGTGTGCACGGAAATCGGACCGGATTCGCGGCATGTTCATTTCTCACGTGTAGTGCAAGACTACACTTGTCCAGGTAGGTTTTCCACAGCCAGGAACGGTGCATGGTAAACGAGGACGAACCTCCGTGCTGTGGACGGTGTCGACATGTTTACGTAAAACGGCAAAGGAGCAAAATACCCGGTGACACGAGTCACAACGTGGTCGCTTCCGGTTGCTGTGAACTGTGAACACGTGGGAAGATAAGGCGACGCTGTTTTTGGAAATTTTGCCGCAAATCTAGACAAAATAAGTAATTTAAGTGTCTATTTGGTGGGCAGGTTTGAATTTTAAAATTCAATTTTTAGCTTTTTTGCCAATTTACACGCTAACCTGGCATTTAACCTTCTTATCGGGATCGTGCGTGACGTTGTGTCTGGTCAACTCGACCTTGGTTTTAAACGTTTTCGAGCACCTGGAACACTCCCAATTCTTTCCTGATTTCAGATCCATGTGAATTCGGAATTGTTTGAGGTTGTAGATTTATGTATTTATGTAGATTCTCAAAAAATTGATATGGTTAAACATTGATATGGTTTGAGTTTGTAAATTCCTGTACTTCATTCATTCAATATTTAACTCATTTGCTCATTTTAAAAGAGATTGACGAACATGAAACACATTTCCAGCAATCTTAGGTGACAACATTTACCTGTTCTATTTATGTATAACCACCAAAAAATTATAATTTGTACAATTTCGTATTTTTCTACTTTATAAATTTTATTGCTTACCGTGTGTTGTGTAGGATTGCTTAATCATAACTTATGCAGGTGTTGTTTAGGAATAAATGACTATGCAAAGTAAATGTTGGTTCGTGTGGTGTGAAAAGGGTTGCGTTTTCTAACCTGCAGTGAAGGCTTGACACATTCCTGGATAAAAATAAACCCTCCAAACGAATATAAATAAGTAGCGTCAGACCGATTCGAGTTTCCTTTAAAATTTCTCCATATATGACCAGAGGTCATAAGGTCAAAAATTTTAACGTCCTTGAAGTCGCGATCAAATTTCCTTTAAAATGACACCCCATATGACAATTAAATATCTTTTTGACCTGTGACCTCGTCCTCAAGGTCATGAGGTCAAAAATATTAACGTCCTTGAATTCCTAGTCAAATTCCCTTTAAAATGACACCCCATATGACAATTAAGTATCTTTTTGACCTGTGACCTTGACCTCAAGGTCATGAGGTCAAAAATATTAACGTCCTTGAATTCCTGGTCAAATTTCCTTTAAAATGACACCCCATATGAAAATTAAAGTTAAATTTAATTTGGACCACACCCACTGGCGCCGTTGGGTGTGGTCCGATTGACCCAATTTCCGAACTCGACCGAAAACTAAAAATTAGAAGCACAATGGCGAAAACCGGGTTTGATTATGTTGACTCGTTCTGAAGATATCCTGCTTACGGACGGACGGACGGACGGACGGACAGACGGACAAAGTGATCACAATAAGTAGCTGACGCTACTTACAGGGATGGGCAATCCCAGGATTACTTTAATCAGATTAAGTAATCAGATTACTTTGAATGTAATCCGTAATCCAGTAATCCACAAAAAATTTACACTTTTAAGTAATCCGTAGTCCGTAATCCTAACTAGCTCTGGAAATGACATGTAATCCGTAATCCTCAATTTACGGGATTGGATAATGTAATCAGATTACGGATTACTTGGTTGGATTACTTTGCTCATGTGAACAGCATGACAGCTCCATCTCGCAAATATCTCCAGAGTCTGAGTTACTTACTGAACTTCAGATCCTTTTGGATTTTTCAGCAGAACACTGCTGAAACATCCAATAGGTACTTTCAAATCCAAAATTCTCTAAATTTTGCGCCTCAGCGCAAAGGTGCAAAGTCAAAAGAATTTTTTAATGATTAAAAGGATTTTAACTTATGTTCTGCAACACTTCTCTACGATCATCTGCACTTTCAGAACGTGTGTTTAGTTCCGGCAGAATAATTTATCCGTCCTAACAAACCAACTGTCGGATGAATCATTTAGAGCTCTTGTTTTTTGAAAACTAATCATCATCATGAAATGAAAATTTGACGTTATTCAGAATAAATATAGATTTTTGTAATCCAGATAATAATCCATAATCAGATTACTGTAATCCGTAATCCGTAATCCACGCCATTAATTATTCCAAGTAATCCAACAAGTAATCCACATTATTTCAAGAGTGAAGTAATCCCAATCCAGTAATCCCACGATAACTTTTAAATTAATAAATTTGTAATCCGTAATCCATCGTAAGTGTTGGGATTGCCCATCCCTGGCTACTAAATAACCAA